TCATTACCTGCAGTGATCATGATCAGTCATACTTTATGTTTCACATTAACACTTCTTCATTATCTGTCTCAGTTTTACTTGGGGATTAGTTTCCCTCAAAAATGTCACATTAATTAAACTTAATTGAAAACAATCATTTGATAGATATGGTTCTCTAAAAGACTAATTATACACATAAAAAAAAACCACAAGAGGAACATTTTATACGTCCTTGAATAATTACATTTCCCCCTCAAATAAATAGTTATGGGCCTAAAGCCGCCTCCAGGCAATTTGGAGATTCCCAGGGATTTCCTGTGGCATGTGTGGATTAGAGTAAATATTTTATCGACCCCTATTCCCTGACTATAGCACCCCAAACTCATTCTGTTAGTTAGAATGATATATGAAGTGGAAAAATAAGTAGTAATTTTAGATTCAGCCTTGTTAAATATTCCATGCTTAAAGGTCCCCTATTATACTGTTTTTCATCAATATATTAAAGGTCTCAGATATATACAAAACATGTCTCTGAAGTGTTTGGCTCCAAATACCAAACAGATCATTGTAGCATCCCATAATCCCCTCTGTTTCAGCCCTGTTTCAAAAGTGCTGATTCTCTGTCTGTTACTTTAGATGAAAATAAGGAGCCACTCCCCACGCCCCTCTGAGAGATATTTGGTTAAAAAGAACACAATGGTTCTCTAGGAGGAGATTCAGATGATAAGGGGGGGGGGGGGGGGTTACCTTGGTTGGTTATTGGCTAATGGTTACACAAGCCAAAAAAACGTTATGACATCATAAAGTGGTCAACATCTGATCAGCTCATTTTCAGACAGGTTTTTATATAAATGGATCAGGACAAAAAGTGAGCCAATCTTTTTCCTGAAACTTTCAGAATCTCTTTACACAGAGAGGGGACACATGTTTATGTATAAAAGACATGAAAAAGTGGATTTTGCTTAATAGGTGACCTTTAAACTAGCAATGTTACTGGAGCATTACTAGCATTCAGCTCAAAACAGTGCTGTGCCTGCAGCCTCACAGAGCCGCAAACGTGGCTGTAGACTCATTAGTGTGGTCAAAATATATTTAAGCTAGCAAAGTGAAGTTTAATTAAAAACTGGAATGGTTCAAATTAAATGCATTTATAGCTACTTTATGTGCATTATTTTCTGCTAGCGTGCCTAACAGTGAGGCTGAGTTAGCATTATGTTTGCTGTAGCGTGGAGTTACTTGGAGCACTCTGCCTGATGTCACACACATTAGTCAGAGTGTGATTATCAACAGCTGCAGCAGCAAATGTGTGTCTCTGCTCCAATCTGTTTTCATCCGTCTGAACACTGCTCATTCTGAAGGCTCATGACTCTGCTACGAGAGACTTTACTTTCAAATACATATAAGGATGACATGCAGTCTTATATACATCTGATAAATATGGGCCTCAGCCAACCAAAGCACCATCATGCACTCTGAGAGGAGGCTGCAGTGGTGGGAGAACACCATAAAACCACCTGCCATGCTACATGACAAAAGCAGAATGGAAGTCGAACAGTTTGGGTAAAATAAGTTGTCAAATAAAAAGACGATTACATAAGTTTATCTTAAAGGGACAGTTCACCCCAAAGATGTTGTGAGTAGCCGGATGTTAGAGATACCGGATTTACCGGCGTGAGGTGCTTAAAGCATAAAATAAATACATTAAAAAACTTCAGAGCACTGTCTCTATGTTTCTCTATCTAGACATCATAACCTAGTTACTCAAGATAATCCATAGACCTTGTTGAGGCTCTCCTGAGCGAGCTAATGTTACATCTCAGCCGAGGGTGACACCGATGTTGAATCATTGAAATGAAATGTTTTGGTCCTTTGAGCACCATAAGCCGAGTTCCATCTAGTTCAACTTGATTTGAGAGAAGGCAGACATCCCTACGGCCAATATCTCCAACGCCTGGCAATTTACACCAAAACGAGTAATAAATAGCGCTTCAGATGAGGTCAATATGTACTGTATCTTTGATTATGGTTCAAACTGTGCCCTTTTTACTGTTTCAATTTTGTTTTAACATTAGTATAGACTTTAATATCCAAGACTGAATGATCTTTCTGAAGGTGATAGTTGAGAGGGTTTTATTTATTAATTTAACCTTTATTTAGGAGAGTCTTGGCCAAGATAGGCAGCAGCATAGTTAGAGAACACACAATCAAATCAATAACAGAGAACATATATGGTTAATCAGGAATATCAGTCAGAAGAGTTATTTGCTTTTCGGTCACTTAAGAAGCACTTAAGAACTGTTCAGACCAGCGCCAAAAGTTTCAGTTCATGTTGCAGCAGGTTTCAAGCAAATGGAGCAGCGTAACTCAAAGCCCTTTTCCTCAGCTCAGTGTGGACTACAGGGACAGTTATCCTCTGAGCAAAGCCGATGGCTTCCCATACTTTTCTGACAGATGTAAATCTGCAATTAAGGTGGAAGAGCACCAAGAATAGCCTTATAAATAAGGGTGTGCCAATGGTTTTGTATGCGGGTGGTCAGAGCAAACCAAGGATACAAGCGGCAATGGTGCGTAAGGGTTTTAAAATGTGTAATGAACCTTAGTGCCCCGCAGTAGACGGTATCCAAAGAGCCTACGCATGTAGATATAAACAACATCACTGTAGTGTAACAGAGACGAAAATGTTAAACGAGAAACAGGAGTTTCAAGTCACACAGGGTACGATGCACAGTGTTAAAATCAGTCTGGAGCTGATCAAGAGCCTGATTTGGGGTGGACACAGAGCAATATATCACTGTATCATCAGCTGAAATTGAAAAGTTCCATTTGATATGTTTCGATTAAGACTACTAATAAAGATAATGAATAATAATGGTCCTAAAACCAATCCCTGTGGCACACAGGATGAGAGGAAAGGCTCGTTTTGAGGCGGCAAAGCCTAATCCTGATACCAGATGGTCTACAAACGTCAGAGAGGACAGTCATGGAATATTGCATGTGTCCGCAGCATGTTTGCTTTATTTCCTCTGGACAACTGTAATGATGTGAGTCCTCTGATGTGTTCAGTGTGTTGCAGAGTGCAGGGTGGGGTAGGTTGGCTGGATGACTGCTTCCACTTAAATCAAAGAAACAACAACAAAAAACAGGGAGGTTTCCCCTCGCAATTTCTTCCAGGGAATAGACCAACTAATGAGAAACAGAGAGGGAAAGTGCCTGAAAGAGGGATGACCGGAATTGAAAGAGGGGTTAAGGTTGGGGGAGATTGACTAGAGAGCGATTAGGGAGAGACAATAATGAATGACGGCTAGTTATGAGAATATTAGTGAAGGTGTTTAATTATCCCCCAGTTGCAGAAACAATTATGCCTTGTATTTGTTCTTAAAGACACATGCAAGGGCAAGTGCAGGACGGCTTTCACTTAGGGTTTCAGTGGACAGACTGTGGTAAGTGCATGTGAGTGAACTGCTTTGGCAGCAACTGGTTAAGTGTAATATGTATAAGAAGTTAAAAGCAGAAAGAAGATATGCAATACTGCAAAACTGAAGGGAATCGAGCCCTGAATGCTTAAAGAATACAAACAGCAACGCAGTGTTTGCATTTTTGTTTTCTGGATAAAGTTGGTTAACAAAATGAAAGTTATTTTTAGTAAAGAAACGATAAGAAAAAAAAACAGTTGTTACATCTACAAACAGCAGTGAATTCCAAGAAGCTTTTTGCGTTACATACATATCACATACACTTGAAGACATAAGGCTTCACACTGCACTTACCCTACTTCCTCCCTCTCTGTGCATGCTGTGGCCCATGTTTATCCAGCTCAGCTCCACCAGTAGAGTAACTAAGCAGGAGATTCTGCCCAGAGTCCGTTTCATCTTCATCATTATTCCTTGGCTCTGCTCACGGTCCCTGAGAAGCACTCGGCAGTATGGACTTGTCTCCTTTTCCTTCTGGCACAAAGCACTTAGAGCTGGCTGGATCTCTGACTCAGTTTCCCAGACCAGCTGAGTCTCTCAGACCACACACCCTCCGTCCGCTCAGTGCAGGCATGTGCAACACAAACTCTTGATCTTCCAGCTGCACAGTAAAGAGTGTGTGTGTGTGTGTGTGTGTGTGTGTGTGTGTGTGTGTGTGTGTGTGTGTGTGTGTGTGTGTGTGTGTGTGTGTGTGTGTGTGTGTGTGTGTGTGTGTGTGTGTGTGTGTGTGTGTGTGTGTGTGTGTGTGCATCCAAGCCAGACGTAACCTGTGACAGCAACCCAGACGCCCACGAGCCAAATGGAGGAGGTTTAAGAGGCTTTAAAACATGCACCTCTTACTGCAGAAGCTTTGATGCAGAACCTGAGGTGTCCAGTTAAATAACGTAGCCACTACAAGTCAGAAGCTGAACATTACCTCAGAAAAAGTCAAGATCTCTTGAGGACTTCCTAAAGGCACACTCTCTTATGTCAGAATGGATTGAAGGCCTGAACTATGATCCAAACTAATTCCTCTGTGTTTCTTCTCTATATATCCTTCTCAAAAAAGACTGCTGATTTCAGTGGTTTCAATTTGTTAAACCTTTCCTGTCACTTCCCAGTTCTCCAAATACTACTGTGGTTGACCGAGGTGCAAAACCACACAACTCCTTCTTCTAAGATGTGAGCTAATTCTGAAGAAGCTACGAGAAGCTAGTATGTCTGTCTTGGTGTATGCCTTTGTTTTTCCCACTGCTGCTGGTCCTGCAGCCTCAAAGCACGCCTTTTTATTTGCTTGTGTGTTCCCGCCTGTCATTTGTAATTGTCGATTGTCAAGTGATCAAGTCCCCTGGCCTGTTAAACCCCTGTATCAGTGGCTTTTCCTCCGGAGTTGCCAAACCGCACACAGTCGAAGGGCAGTAACATGTGTTTTAAATGTGATCCAGACTTCTGTAACGTGTGAGGGGAAATCAGATGCCAGCACCACCCCGGTCTCACCGACACCCCACCCACTTGCCCATCTGACTGAGAATGTAATCTGCAAAGGAACATCTACAAAACACTTACAGGAGGGAATATTGGAACAATATTTATTATATGTACGCAAAAGAGGAACAGCTGCTTTTCTGTTGGCTGCAAAGTCAAGTTTTTTTTAAGGTAACAATCGTTATGAAACGTGCAAAGAAAATGATTTTACAATAACTTCAATTGGTCAATGAAAGTGATTTTTTTTAAACTTTTGCAGCAAGACACATATTAATGTGGTACATAAATGTGTCATCAAACATCAGATTAGTTGATGTAAAAACCTTCACACTTATACATAATAATATGTTAAATTATCTTCACAACAATATATAAAAGTATTGCATAACAGCTTTCAAACAGCAGTCGGAAAATGTAGTGAAGCTTAACGAGAGGGTGGGGAGCAGTTAGAAGCACATTTTCAATAAAATCTATATTTTACAAGGGGAGGGGGCTAAACTTCTACTGTGCAAACAATAGTCCATGAAGCCCTTGGACATGTTATAGTGGATGATGGAAAGTACTAAATGTCCTGTAAGCACACACAGAAGAAAGATATATACCCACGGTAACAACACCTCAAATTAAATATCTTTACAAAGATATATATCCATAGCAACAAACAGGTAAGGCTGCAGTGACAAGATTGCAACGGGATATGTTCAGAAAGCATCTCTGATCTTGGACCTCCAGTTTACGGCCCTCTCAAAGCCGTTTCTGCCAGTCTGGTAGTCTTTGATAGCCTGTGTGATCTCTTCTTCTGTGGTCATTACAAACGGACCTGAATGCCACACAAGACATATGAAAATATTAAATTACAGCTGCTTTGTTTGTCACTACCTACACATATTCAAGCAACTCTTTTGTGCAGTGACATGTTGCCAACATGGAAGGAATAACGCAAATGGCTTACCGTGTTGTACCACAGGCTCTTTGATTGGTTCTCCAGCGATCAGCACAAAATGGGACACTTCCGAGCCCTGAGGAGGAAATAAGAAACAGTGCTATTATCTTTGTCTGTGTGAGAAGTGGAATGACTTCCATTTGTCATTTCCTAGAGATCCCACAAGGTCTGAAGAAGAATGTGTGACCTCACAAGAGGATTAAAGAAAAAATAAATAAAAATGTCTTTTAAATAAAAAAAACACAATATTTGTTTTATTCTGAAACACTATATATTTTCACATTCTGTGGAACTCTGTCCGGGTATAAGGAAAACACAGACACTCATCACAGAGGTCACAATATCAATCGATCCAGCAGAGCAATAGCCTATAGGCAAAACACAGAAGATCAACAAAATATATGACATCAAATGAACTTACCAAAGCTGCAGTAGTTGGTCAACTGCATTCATTTTCTTTCCGTTTTATTGATTTTAATCGCTATACGCCGCTCTCTCTCGTCTCCTCTTCACTACAGGGTGAAAACTACACTTTTCGCGGCACACGTACTTACAGCCAATCAGCTCTCTGAATTATGAGATGACGTTTGGTAGGTATGCCAGCACAGTGCCCCTATGGTGATGGTGAATAGAAAAAGACTCTGAGCATGCCCAGTGTAGTTTTTACAGCACCCATTAGACAGTGAGAGAGAGGGGCTAGATCGGGGCTTGACCCACGTCGCTCAACACGGCTCAATAGGCACACTGTAGACACTAATTAGAAGAACACAGACTAAAACAGCAATGTACAGACGAAGGCAAGAGCAGGCAAGAGAAAACCGGGGAGACCAAAAATCAGCAAAAGGAGGGCATTAAGTAATTGACCAAACAAAAACCATCCGTAAAACCCTAAATATGATGAACAACAGACAATATTTCAGCTTACAAAGGTAGGCATTTTGGAAAGAAATGAGAAAATACTGTTAATCTCTCACCTTATTTTGAACTTTGACGCAGTCCCCATCTGCAAACACTACGGTGTGATGAGGCTCCACCTTCTGCTGCTCCTCATCTGGGCCTTAAGACAAGAAAAGTTCAACGTTTTGTCCTTATTGTTCATTTTAAACATCTTTTACTGTAATTTGGCAGGACACAGGGTTTTTCAGTTTAGGTTTTTAAAAAGAGATATTTCTCTACCACTTGCATTTAGACAGGAATGCTTTAGTTTTCAGGGTTTCAGCTTCATGATTCTTTAAAAGATACAATGATTTCTGTTTGACTTTCCTTCATAATGACATGAATCATTATTAAGAAAGTGTAATTGTTCCACTTCATTTCCCCGGGCTGAAACAACTCAAACATGACGTAGAGGATGTCAATATTGCAAAATTAGATAGACCCTATGATCCCGCACTACATATTACTGTTAATTCCAACGCACTGTCAAGCTGGGATAATTCTTTATGTTCAATTCTGAGTCATGTTGGGGAAAACCCCTGACAATCACCATGTCATTTATGAGAATTCATGAGTTTTGTGGCTTTTGAGCTGTTTTTTATGTCCTCAAGAAGGAAATGAGAGGACAAATCTTCTGGCATTACTGTTTAATATTCCAAAACTAGCTTTCGTGCTGCTTTTAAGATGAAAAATGCAACGGAAAGAATAGTTTCACAAACAATTTCTGACTACAACAGGTGTATGTTGCATAACAAAACCACTGAGTTCAATAGAAATATACAGACACGACAGACATTACAGACACTGCTGACATCAAACGCTGAGAAATCCAGACACTTCCATGTGCGGTCGATGCATCTACCAAAGCCAGCTGGGCCCGATTTGGCCGGACTACATGTCTAGTTGAAGACTTAACATTCAAAAAAGGTCTTTAATGTTTGAAGCCAAATTCATCCTCTCGTGTCATTAAAACATCTGACAACAATAACCAGTCTGAGAAATCCTGCAGTGTAACGCTGGAAAGTAATCAAACCATAATGAAATGGTATGAAAGAATATTAAAAAGGGGACTTCTGCATGAAAACAAAGGGTTTGTTCTCATGCGAAGGGGAACTCCCTAATCACACTATGGCGTCCAAGGAGCAGGACATGCAGTATTTCACAGTATTGTTTCAGACAGCAACACAAACCAGGGCGTAGTTCTAACATGCCGGTATGGTGATTGATATGAAGCCAAACTCTGAGATGGTCATATTTTATACAGTAGCATGATCATTTCTCCAGTGATGTTGGGTACATTTCAGATTGAGGTGGAGTGATCTATGAACCCATCAAGCTTTAAAGCGTAACACATGGTTCTTCTGGCTGAACGTAGAAGAGAAGTTGTGACTGGACTGAGATCACACGCATATTTGCAACGTAGATATGGCAGCAGGAAGAGCAGGGAGGGAAGTGAAGGAGTGTTTGAAAATAAAGGAGTGAACATATCCAACAAGAAGAATAATGTTGCTCTCACCCGGTTTATTAGTTATTTCTTCTTCCTCTTATATACAGTACATCTGAATTGTGGCGTTATATGAGACATATACAGGAAATACACCTTAATGTTGCAAAGTTCAGATAAAAATAATATTTAGTGAGCCTTTATTTCAGCAGAACATTAAACAGACAACACTTACCAACATGAATAGATCCTGATAGCGTGTAGATGAATGTAGTCCATCCTGTCCAACACACAATCATCATCAAAATTAAACTGAGCAGTTACGGAGAAAGATTGCCATATGCTCTCATGTCATATTCATTCTGTCATCTGCCCAAAATGTCTGAGTGTTTATGTGCCAAACATGTGAATACATCATGCATACAAACAGCAAAAGTAGTATAAACAGTATAAGGGTGTGTGTTGAGGTTTGAAAATGAGGTTTAGTGAACTTTGTGAAGTGAAATGTAGCACTCACTGTAGGCAGGGCAGTGACAGAAATGTTTCTCATTTGAGAAATTGTATTCAGAAAAGTTGCCTTTCATGAGTAAACTGAAAGGAGAGTGTTTTATATTTAGTATTTGAAGCAAAGATAATCAAAAACAAAAATAAATTTGTTTTATTTCCATTTTATATTTCCAAGTATCTCACATTGTTCTGTTGCTTGCCACAAGTGGACAACATTTAATAGAGTTTAGTGGCAGACAGGGTCGTCTCATGGCGAGGACATTTCAGAGCACAGACAGCAAAAAATGAGGAGGGATAGATGAAGATTAGTCAGAGCCCGAAGCAACCATGAAATGTTGTTGTGTAAGCCTCCTAACAGACCACTTAGGCACTTTTTTAATTAGCAAACCATTTACAGAACCACTGTGGTTTTTCTAAAAATGTTTTTCTCTTACCTGAGGGGACTGGCTGCACATGAAGGGCATCGGTCTGCATTTTGAAGTCCAGGTACAAGGTCGGTGTCCTTGTGTTCACCTTAGACTGTGAGGTTAAAGAAAAAAAAGCTTACTTTGATGCTTCTACCACATATTCTCCTTATAGGGCTTGAACACGTATGGAAAATGTATGTTTTTATTCAAATGTTTTTTCAGAAATTCAAGTGAGTAAAAACACCTTGTATCTTCCATTTCTGATGGTAAAAACAAACACTAGTTCACAGATATATTGATTCGTCACCGTGACAGCTTATTTTTGCACGCAAAGTGCTACTCCACTTTGTGTAACACCCCTTGGGAATCAAATATTACGTTTAGTTTGCCGATGTCTGGCGACAACAAATTATGGTAATATGAGTTTTAATATATTAAATTATAAAGAAATATAAAGAAACACATAGATATGTGACTTTTAGAGCAGCAGCAGGTGACTTGAGTTCCATAACCTGTGTTAAACCCAAAAGTTTTAATGACACACACAAACACGCAAGCTCAGGCCAGCAGGACAATCTGCTCCTCATTTGCAGTTTCCTCTTTTCAACCAGACACTTCTCACACTGACCAAATAGTGTGGTTAACAGGCTTTCTCACACACACACACACACACACACACACACACACACACACACACACACACACACACACACACACACACACACACACACACACACACACACACACACACACACACACACACACACACACACACACACACACACACACACACACACACACACACACACACACACACACACACACACACACACACACACACACACACACACACACACACACAGTTGGTTAACTTGTGGCTATGACATCCAGCAAAATGCACAATCACCATGAGATCAACAGCTAGCGGTACAGACATCATGTTTAGTGCTCGTCTGTCTGGGGCTTCAACTAATTATGCTACAACCTGTGGGTAAAGTATAAAGACACACATACACACTCACACACTTTTGCTCCTAAAGCTTCTCCAGATATCACAGCCACTGTGACTCCTCCCTTGCTGCGTTTGGGGATCTGTGAGCCTTTCAGCTCCTGGTATGCTGGTTCCACCATCTTGTCTCTACTTGGCAGGTTCACCCACAGCTGTAAGCCCACCACCGGCTCCTCTGACACGGGCATCTCAGCATGGACCACCCCCCGCCCTGCAGTCATCCACTGGCAAGCAAGTTGACATATTTCAAATATCCCAAAGACACAATAAAAAATGTCACACATACACCACCAGTTTGGCTTTTTCAGGTTAGGTGAAATGTCTTGACAACTATTGGATAGATGGCCTTAAGTCTGTTACAGAAAGGCAGGTGTATTGTAGATTGGCAGATTACAGAAGATGTGATGAGGATTTATGAGACTTTTTTTGCGAAGATAAAATAATACTTTTCTTCTCTTTGTGTTGGACTGAACACTAAAATTATGAATTAATACATAATGAATGATTATTATTGATGTATAACATTTATCCTTTTGTATTGCACTTGTTTGCTTTGTATCCATTTGGTTTCCAGCGTTAATATACATAACATAATATAGGGTCCAAAACTACCAGATCAGAGTTCAAAGTAAGACTAGCGATTATAAGTGATTTTCTAGCAATAAAATAGATATTTTTTTGGGTTTGATTGGCTTCTGAAAATAATAATATATTAAAGAGATTTGAAAACATGGAGCAGAATTCAGGTATTGATTTGAAACAAAGTGGATGAATTATAAAGTTTAGTTTAACAGCTTCTGCTTCTCCTTTAGCCCGGCTGGAAATGTCCACTGTCAAGCTTTAATGCAGCTGCCCACTGATTATTCATCCGTGACTGTTCATCATGCTATTTGGTTTACTTTATTGCTTCGTGCTTGGGAATGACTGGATAATAAAACGTGCACAATACAAGAGGGAATAAACCAGAGAAGAGAGTCAGCCCTGATCAGTGGTTCAAAATACAGTTAAAGCATCTTATATTATATAATATCCAAGTAGTTTGACTTTAGTTTGGGTACATACAGTCCCGTTAAGATGAACCTTGTGTATGAAAAAATGAAGATTGTCATTAAATATAAAAATGTTGATACAGCTTGTAATTTAATTATGCTTCCAAATCCAACAGGTTTTACATTTTTAAGAAACATTTGCTTTTTTCAGCCACCTTTCTCAGCATAGAAAACTATTGTCAGAAGTTGAATTTGTTTCCCTTCAGGAAATTGATATACAGATGTGGATTTAATTCAAACATTAACTGAGAAATCACATTTTCTTTGTTGCTTTGCCATGCTCACCACTTCTTTTACAGTTTTAATTGAAGACAGTGTTTGAGCTTTCCGTAAAGGACAGGCAGGCGGCGGTTTGAGCATCTGCAGCTTCAACGTCACGTTAAGACACCAGAGGGTGCACATGGTGGGCTACAGCAAATTCAGCTGAACTGACTGAACCCTCTGCTGCAGATTGAAGCTGAGTCAGCAGCCTGTGTGTGTGTGTGTGTGTGTGTGTGTGTGTGTGTGTGTGTGTGTGTGTGTGTGTGTGTGTGTGTGTGTGTGTGTGTGTGTGTGTGTGTGTGTGTGTGTGTGTGTGTGTGTGTGTGTGTGTGTGTGTGTATGTGTGTGTGTGTGTGTGTGTGTGTGTGTGTGTGTGTGTGTGTGTGTGTGTGTGTTCTTAACTTTACTGCTTTAAAAACACAGGAAACAGCCCACAGGGTATAATATCCAATTAGTGTGAGTGCACAACATTTTGATGCATATGTAATGAGTTTGTGGGGATTTGTAAGCCAATGGGCTTAAGTCTTGTTCTGCTTTTTCAGTCCATGTTAAAAACAAGTAAACTGAATGCTTCAAGCTGATGAGCACATTTACTATTACAGGATCAGACTGATATATATATAACTGAGTGATAAATTATGTAATTTCTGAAAAAGAAAATATTTCTCAGCTCACTAACTGGCATGTTATATAAATTGTCATTTCACACTTTCCTTTTAGTACAAATTCAAACAAGATATAGATTGATGAGCTTAAGAGGTGTTTTTAGGTTGTTGTTTTTTCCTACAGGCTAGCTGTTACCCCTTGTTTCTAGTATTTGTGCTAAGCTAAGAGTGTGATTTACAGTGCATACATAAATGCTTTGTCAATATTTGTCTCAACAAAAAATAAGAGTCCAAAAAAAAACCTTTAACAAATATATATCAAAAAGTGAAGTTGTACTTGCAGGTCTCCAGCTTTCAGTCGTCCTGAATGACCACAGAAGTCTTCATGGGCCGTGATCCCCTCTAAAACATATGTTACCTGTTTAAAAAAAGACAACATATGTAACATAAAGCCTCATATTGCTTTATACAGATAACTCAAGATATGCTTCAAAACTAATGTGAAGAATGGAGACATTTTTCAATTTTGTTAATCTGATTTCGACGGCTTATTTGACATCAAGTAATTGATGTTTCTTCACAGTGAGTGAAATATAACGTTCCAGGTGTTATTAACTCAGGACACGACTTTATAAACGAGTGCTGCTCTGACTCTAAAAGCGCTTGTTTCACGGCTCCAGTGGTCAGACTGGACAGGAAGAGAAGTGCTGAGTGATGGGTCATGGGTTCGAAAGGTGAACATCTGTGTAAGGGAGGAAAGCTCGGGCCCCTGCAGCGAGCTGCCTGTGATCTGTCTCCACAGCTGTGGGATTTCAAAAGTCATGTGAGTGTGAGCAAACACACCTGCTGAAAGGCATGCTGGGAGTATAGCATATTCCTGTCCACCCACACTGGGAGATATAAGTTGTATCTGCCAACTCAAATACACTTGGAAGAACTTCTGGCAATTTAAGGACAATATCTGTGTTTTCTAAGTTCGACTTTATACAACCTGCCACATCACCACTATTCAACAATTTAGTGGAAGAATTACTGCTTATTCAACAGTCCAGAGATAAACTATAATTTGTAAAACAGGCTTGTGTGTGGTTCATTTAATAAACAGCATATGCTTAAAAAGTGATACATTTATTAATGAGCTATTTTCAAAAACAACCTTATCCCTACATGGTTCACAGAGAGGCTAGTGGAGTGGAAGTCAGAATAGGAGCAAGTTGTTATGCTTTCCATTCTTTTAGTGCCCAAAATTAAAAAGTAATTTAATAAAATATTCTCTAACACTAAATCTAGATCATCATAATAACTTAACGTATAAACGAATGTTCAAAATCAATTTTTATAATTGGTAAAAGCAGCAATAATTGATTTGGCGGGGCCTCAGAACTTTGACTAAATTATTATTAATTAAACTAATTTCTCACTTCACTTTGCTCACACAAATCCTGAAGGAAATATATTGATCTTTAGCTGCTAAATGTTGTGTAGTTTGTTATAGAGTATGTTTTGCCAAAAATAGCTGCCAGTGAATGAAGGTGATGAATCACAACAGTGAAGCTGTCACCAGTCAAATTGGATTACTTCATCCTAATCCTTTTGTATACAAATATTTATGTAAAATAAAAGGTGCCCCAAAATCTAATAAAATGTGTGCCATACTTATCCAGTATAATACTATGCTAGATTAATTTGGAGACACTGGGTCACGTGATATAATTAAGGGGGTTAATTAAGGGGGTTAATTAAGGGGGTTGTCCGCTTCGCGTCGGGCCGAACCACGCCCCTTAACTGTGATATAATGGCCATATACCACGGCCTGTCGTGAGCTATTGCTTTTATAAAACGGTTACCAAGTGTGGCAATATGAAAGAAAAATACACACTCTAATTTAAATAGTTGTTATTAGTAAATAATGATGTTCAAAATAAAATAGTCCCTCTGTTGCCTTCTGCACGAAACATAGTGCGAGGTGGTTGCTATGCAACAACACTAACAACAGCTAGCGAACATATTAGACAGAGAGCGTTGATCCATTATTTGGCTATTTATTTACATTAATGTGTATGTTGCCGTTTATTGTGCACCCACTGAAAAACTGTCCAGCATCAGTAGAATGGCTTACGTGGTTATAGGCTGAGGTTGTTCTAGGCTGTTGCTTGGCGTGGCGAGAATATTGCTCCACTTTTTCCGGTCCCCGAGATTCGGCTTCCAGTAGCTCTGGAGAGAGCTTTCGCACCTGTGGCCACTAACGGTCATAATTGATCTGCTTTGTTTCAAGACCCGCATCAGAAAGCTTTTGAATGGTGATACTTTTCCAGTTGGTCTACTACCTGCTCTTCACGTAGCTCTACATGTCGTCGTTTAGGTGCTTTTTGTTCTGGAGATAGGCACTCTCACTCCTCAATCCACTCCTCCATAGTAAGACCCCCCCCCCCCCCCGGAGGTCGAAATTAATCTTAAATGTTTTTGCGGACCTTTTTGATTACAGATTTGAAAATATCGTTGCTTGCTTTAAAAGTAGCACAATTCATTATGTCAAACCTTGGAAAGTATCTAAATATCCCTGCCCTAATGCCAAAGGAACTGCACACTGAATATGTTTTTGCCGTTTGATGTCTATGTCTGGGCCGCTGCGTAAAAAGGAGGGTTTCTGCCCTGTTACTTCTCCGCTGCTTTCTTGTTCCAGTTTGAATTGCTTTTCAAACTGACTGTATACTGTTTTTCTCAGACGCGGAGGGATACTGACTTGTTGTGAAAAGTAACTTACAATTCTACCCGTGGTATACGCTCAGTATATCACGGCTAAGAACCAATCAGATTGCTTGATTTGACTTGTCCGTTTTATAAAAGCTATTTGAAAAATACAAGAGTTTCCAAAACTGCAGATTCTTTTGAAAATCAAATTAAAGGTGGACAAAAATCAAACAAAAAAAGAAGATGTGTCCTATTAATTCAGCTTAGTTACTCAATGCTGCATTGATGTTAATGTTGCTCTGAAACATGACATGAACTTCAATTATCTTATAATAAAATAGTTTTGTAAAATCATGACACATCTGAATAAAATAAAAGTGTACCACACAAGGGCAGTAACTTGTTAATAGCTTTTTAAATAACTACCATTGGGGTTGTGTCATTCAAACAGTCATTTATTGAAGTTCCCAAAGTGAAACCCTGTGGTTTAGAGTGAGGGCTCGGATCTGAGCGACCCGTCCTCTGACTGCAGACAGAGAAACTGAGGAAGAAGACGCTGCTTGATCTGAATATCAAAGCCAAAACAAAACAAACTTCACTGCGGTTAAGATGAAGGCAGATTCTGGTGATATGTGGTTTTATGACTGAGAACAGCATCTGGACAGTGATTAGGGTAGCTTGAAGAAAAGGTCATTCTGAGAAGTCAGGTAAAATCAGCTTTTTACATTTTTAAATAAGTGAACATTTTCCATGTTAGATAATGGTTTTAATTGTAATTATTCATTGACAAATAAGTCTGTTAAATACAAATAGTGCTACCAAATAATGTCTTAAAATTGTTAATTCAACGAACAAGAAGAGCCTAAGAGAAATGAACAGCTAACACTAAAACAAATCTCACATTCAGAACTTGTATCCAGCTACCATAATTACTTTCCTGTCATAGACATAATCAACAATTAACTTTCCACCATATTCTTAAATCTGGCATGAAATTTAAAAAAGCTAAAAGTCATGGAAACTTAGCAGTACTTAATATTTCTGGCAATTTTTAATGAAATATATAAACCCAACTCATAAAGGGCCACACTAACAACTATTTGAATACAGATTAGGTGGCTGCCCCTGTCCCTCAGCAGGTGTGTTATTGGAATAACCTGTTAAGGCCCTGACACACCAGGCAGTCACCAGAGAACTCGCCGACACCCGACACCAACAGTTCCATCGACGAGTTCTCCTGCGTCTTGGCCGTGTGTCGCACTGGAAATCACCGCAAAGACTTCAGCCGAGCACGTACGAACTGCGCATGCGTGAGTGGCAATAACTCTCCTTACTAGAGATGGGCGAGTCCTGATTCATCCGGATCATTAACCCGGATCCTAGAAATGAGTTGGTCGTGACGAGTCTCCCCTCTCCATTAACCCGAGTCCTTGAGTCCCACACTTGGTGTGACGTACAAATTAAAACTATAAATTGCGTCACTCGCTACTCTCTTTATAACATGTAAAATCACATTACAACGTACCCCAGTCCATCTGCCTACCCTTTAGCAAGTATACAGGATAGCTGCCTGCCAGAAGTTATCGTTTGGCTCAGGGGAGGGGACACGGATCAGTGAAACTTCCTGCAGACTCGTGGGGACTCAGAGGAGCCGACGGCTCCTAACCGTAATAGCATAGCAGATCCAGAGATCCATACTCGTCATGTGCACGATCATAGCCCCTCCTCCAGCACCCGGCTCCCGCGCTATCAACAGCAGACTCGCAGACTCGCAGATTCGCAAATCCTGACTCGCTGTGCAACACACAGCAGAGCAGACTCGTGCGGACTCGGAGCCGTAACCATATAGCAGCAGATCCAGAGATCCAGCAGACTCGTCCTCATGTACGAGTCAACAGCAGACTCAGATTCGCAAATCCTGACTCACTGTTCTGCAACACACAGCAGAGCAGACTCGTGCGGACTCGGAGCCGTATATAGCAGCAGATCCAGAGATCCAGCAGACTCGTCCTCATGCACGAGTCAACAGCAGACTCAGATTTGCCAAATCGCAAAATAACCCTTTTTTTTGTGATCAACATTTTTTATTAAAGCAAAATACACTGTGTAGCGGAGGTTAATATAACGTCAGTTTAATAGATAGATAGATAGATAGTACTTTATTGATCCCAAATTGGGAAATTGTTGTTGTTACAGCAGCATAAAAGGCATTTTACAATAAAACAAAACTACAAAATATACAAGAATAGAAAGAAAAATAAAATAAAATATAAAATATACATGTCGAAATAGAAAATATACATGCAGATATTACATGTATATATATATATATATATATACACAAATATATATATATTCAAAATATATGGAATAATAATATGCTCGTGAAATGCAACAACTTTTCGGTTTCACCAATAGGATTTCTACGGTCTTGGTGATGCTGACTCATATGACTCAAATGACTCGTATGATCCGGATCTCTTCAATGACTGACTCAGAAGACCCTGAGTCCGTAAAAGGATCCGGATTTGCCATCTCTACTCCTTACCAGCAGGCGGCGGTAGTGTGTATTTGTCATTCAAAATAGGCAACAACCGGAAGACAGAGAAGAAGAACAGACTGATATAAACAAACAAATAGCGTGTGCGTTCCATTTTCACTCTCGTCCATCGAAAACATGTTTTAGAATATAAAAATACATGAATGATGAAATGAGCACATAAAGTGCAGACATACTATAAAATCACAGTTAATAGACCTGCATCTGATGACCGCAGTGTTCTGGCGGGTGTGTAGTTTATTGAGTCAGCAATGTAATAATGGCCACTTCTTGCTAAATTTACGATGAAATATAAAACCGGACTTGACCAAACAAATCACGGAGCTCTCAGCAGAGGACAGCCGGGGACGCTCCTGCCGATATCAGAGATGTCCCTGCTATGTGTGGGTGGTAAGAGAGGACATTTAAGGGCTATGTTTGATGTCTTTAAGTATCACCTGCTGGTGTTTAGCTGCTGTCCTGTGCCTTAAATCGTTTGTTTACGTCCCTCACTTCCGTTTCGCTTCTCATTTGCTAGCTGAACAGCTGATCAGAGTGGTTTCTTGGCCCGATAGCTTGTGTCCGACACCCGGCCGATTCAACATGTTGAATCGGCCGGGTGTCGACCGTGAAAGGCCAAATAAGGCGTGTCACGGCCGAGGGTTCGGGACACACCAAATTTACTTTGGGCGACAAGGAACGCGTTGTCCCCAGACAACCCAAGACGGCCGATATCGGCCTGGTGTGTAAAGGCCCTTACACACAAGCTATCGGGCCAAGAAACCACTCTGATCAGCTGTTCAGCTAGCAAATGAGAAGCGAAACGGAAGTGAGGGACGTAAACAAACGATTTAAGGCACAGGACAGCAGCTAAACACCAGCAGGTGATACTTAAAGACATCAAACATAGCCCTTAAATGTCCTCTCTTACCTCCCACACATAGCAGGGACATCTCTGATATCGGCGGGAGCGTCCCCGGCTGTCCTCTGCTGAGAGCTCCGTGATTTGTTTGGTCAAGTCCGGTTTTTCATCTCATCGTAAATTTAGCAAGAAGTGGCCATTATTACATTGCTGACTCAATAAACTACACACCCGCCAGAACACTGCGATCATCAGATGCAGGTCTATTAACTGTGATTTTATAGTATGTCTGCACTTTATGTGCTCATTTCATCATTCATGTATTTTTATATTCTAAAACATGTTTTCGATGGACGAGAGTGAAAATGGAACGCACACGCTATTTGTTTGTTTATATCAGTCTGTTCTTCTTCTCTGTCTTCCGGTTGTTGCCTATTTTGAATGACGAATACACACTACCGCCGCCTGCTGGTAAGGAGAGTTATAGCCACTCACGCATGCGCAGTTCGTACGTGCTCGGCTGAAGTCTTTGCGGTGATTTCCAGTGCGACACACGGCCAAGATGCAGGAGAACTCGTCGATGGAACTGTCGGTGTCGGGTGTCGGCGAGTTCTCTGGTGACTGCCTGGTGTGTCAGGGCCTTAAGGGCCTTTAAGCCCCATAGCCCCCGCTGTTTCAGGAAACTGTGTCTCAGGGCTTCTTAACATTTAACAACCTATTAAAGGTAGGGTAGGTACGTTTGAGAAACCGGCTCGAGATACACTTTTTGTTATATTCCATGGAATGCTCTTAACATCCCGATAGCAATGAATATCTTAAGTGCTTTGACAAAAAATCCATAAAAAAATGTCATCTGTGGAAGCCGGAGAACTGTAAAAAGTACGACCAATCATTTTAGCCGGCCCGGCTAAAATAACTGGATGGCCTACCTGCCTGTCAGCCTTCCATCTGTGCACAAACTTATCTCGTGCCCTCATTGGTCATGTGCACGTTCGTGTGTGTTGGAGGAGGGGCTCTATCAGTGGCGTCGCCTGGCCTGGGCATCCGGGGCTTTAGCCCCGAATGTTTTTACTGTAGCCCCGGACAATTCTCCCTCAATAATAATTTACGTGAACCTCATCATGACACAAGAGAGGACGGCAGCACTGTAATTTCCCGTGTTCAGTGAATGCAACAGAGGCACGACACCAGACCAATCAGAGAGTTGCATGGAAATAAACGTGTGCTTGTGTCATTCAAGCTCGGCTCTGTGTGTGTGTGGCAATAGCGCATTTAGTGTGATAGAGAGAGAGAGAGGGAGGGAGGGACCCGTGCCAGCATGGACCGTGTTGTTAGCATCTGGTTAGCGAGCTGCACTAACGGACATAAGGAGCTGTTTGTTCCACAAGAAGCTGGAGGAGAGTCCTCTCCTCTCAGACTGGGAGACTCAGGTGAGCTAAAGGACTCTCTGAGTGTTTAGATACATAACTTTAGTCTAAGTTATCTCAGTGGGTCTCAAACGGTTTGGTCACAAATTATTCAAAAGATTATTTCCGCGGCACACCTTCATATGATCATTATAGTTATACAAAAAATAAGAGAATAAAGGAAAAACAGTTATGAAATACTATATGGCAGTAAAACAAGAATAGAGTTTAAAAGGGGAGTGATTAGTAAAATATCCATAAAGAAAAAGTACATCTGTTTACAGTTCTGCTTCATATGGGTGTTGAGAAAGGTATCCATAGATCTCTTCATGTTGCTCTCAAAGTGCACCAGATTGATGCTTTTAACTTCAATATTTAAAAAAAAAATCTTCCCGGGGGAGCATCCCCCCGGACCCCCCTAGAGGAGGTGAGCCCCCCACTCATAAAAAATACCACTTTACCCCTGCCTATATGCCGTGAGCTGATTATCGAGCCTTCATTGTAACAGTCGCGGGTGTACTGTGTGTGGGGTGTGTTGCAGTAAAAAATGCCACTGTAGTGCCGCTGCCACTGTGGGCTAAGCCCCGAATGTTTTCAAGTCCAGGCAACGCCCCTGGGCTCTATAAGGAAGTGGCAGATTTTCTCCGGTTGTGTATTTTCAAATTCTAGCGATCTCGAGCCGGTTTCTCAAATGTACCTACCCTACCTTTAATGTGTCATACCCACTTACCGGGAAGAAACTCAGCTAACTGACGATATGAACCATTTTTAGCTAAACAAAACACAAGGATAATACCAATCCTCTGAATTAGCCCTGAGCGAAAATGCTAACGCACTTAGCACAGAAATACTTTATTACTTATCGGATCTGCACAAACAAGATATCAGATTAAAGCTGAGATTCCACCGATTCTAGAAGTATAAGTATCATCACTGTGCGACCAAAACTCAGCCAGCGAAGGCAAACCAAGACAACACACAACGTAGCTTTACTGAGCCAAAACGGCAAATATGTCTTACCTTTGCTGTTTTTCTGATCAATAGTTGTGTTCAATGGCATTAAAACGCATATAAACGCTGCTGAAGGTTAATCCAATGTGTCTGTGTCACTTTGAAATGATTACTGATAATCCATCATTCCATTTTTGTCAAAAACAGATTTCATGTCCCTGTGTGTGAGAGCTACAACCCAGCTTCCGGTTTTGGGCAAACTGCGTGCGCATCACTCTCACTCCTCAATGGTAACGTGTAGGTGGATTTTTCTATTGGCTCTAACGGTTCAAAAGAGGTGTCAATCATCAAAATCGACTGAGGGGGGCCAGAGATATGGCAAATCCACCCAAATGACCCCAGAAGTGGGTTTTATTTTGCTAAACCTCTCTAAAAAGGTAAAATATCACTTGTTTTGCATCAATCTTGATACAGGGTACTTATTATATGTTATAGTTTGGATTCCTAAAGCTTTTAGTCTACTAACCCATCATCCAAGGGTGGTTTTCACTATAAGTAATATTTTTTTACTATGTTCAATCTGAATTTACTTTAAAATTAAAATAAATCGATATTGATTCTGACTTTTCTACATCCAACTCACAGGTTTATCATTGCTTTGAGAAAAAAGATTATTAATTTAACCCTTTTAGAAGGGAAGTTATAGTCATTTGTTCTGGGAATGTCATTTTCGAGCCTGAGACCTGAAAAACAGGCTCAGGGCTTAACAGGAGGACTGTGGCTTCCTGGGCTCTGTCCTGTTGTCGCCATCTAGTGATCAAAGTAGGAACTGCACTCCTCAGCCTCAGTTGGTCCTGTGCTCCTGCTCTTATGCTCCTACTTTTGTTTTAGGGTTAAGTATAATTCTCTTATTTATTTTATTTTTAGGTAAAAGGACAAAGTTGTGCTTTATTGGAATGTCCCACTGTAGTTAGATTCTCTTTTGTGACGGTTGTATTCTCAGGAGCAAATTCATTCAGTTAAGAAGCTGAAACTTGGAAATGTTTGCTGTTTTTGCTACCATCAAGAGGGCTTTAACATCTTAACATCATAAAACAACATCTATTCTAAGACCCTCACTTTTGCTAAGGCAGAGCCCCTCAAGAAACCTCTGTAACATATGGCTAACTTATAATTGAGATCAATTATCAACAAAAAAGGTTTCCTTCCTGTCTCTCAATTGATTAATGGAGTAATTGTTTTAGCTGTTATTATACGTTTTATATGTATGTTTTTTTTTATATTTATCTTGTTAATGTCTGTATTGTCTTCATATTCTTACCGTCTCAAATCCTCTGTGAGGATGGTCTGGAAAACCTGCCGGCTTGCTCACTCTGAACTCATCCAACATCAGAAAAGGATCTAGGTTCCTCAGCTGAAACAAAATATGTATAGTATAATTTCAATTGCGATAATGTGTGTGATGAATCTTTAGCAGAAAGGTTTGACTGTCAATTTACACTTAGGCCTACATGTCAAGTTAATTTGTATTTATATAACCCAATATCACACATTTGGATAGCAACTGAGGATACCTCTCAATGGATGGAGACAAATGTAATAGATGTTGGGTTTACAGATAGACCTTCATAAAAAAATACCTCTTTTCTACCAATGCTTCTGCGGACACAAGCACCGACTCCCTCTGACTGTTCCACACTCAAAACTGTCTTTTCCACTCTCCTGACATCCATTTTGCCGGGAAAATGAACCAATAGTCACTGCAAAATCATAAAATATGAGAATTTCAATAAAAAAAGGATACAATGAGAATAAAAGGAATTCATGGACACAATAAAAGGGTTGTTTTGAGGCAAAAAGTACAGATTTGTTCTTGTCCACAAGCTTTTCTTTATAATTTTGAAGAAGAGGCAATACAATTTATCAAATGTCTTCAAAACATCTTGAAACTGTTTTGAAGACATTTGATTAGAAATGTAACGTTATATCTTCTGATATTATTGCTTTTGACAAGTTTGTGATACAAAGCAGAATGAGAACAGCAACTGTCAAAAGCAAAATTCCCCAAAATCAAATACTGCAAAGTAACACGATGATGACAAAATAACAGGAAATGTTATGCAAGCACAGGGGTTTCCCAGTGTTAATAGAAGTTACTCTTCTTGGCAAATGAGCTCAGAGCTGCAGACCAGCCGACCTGACAGCAGCAGTCAGCTGATCTGATCAGCCGGTGGTCAGCTGATCTCTGATCTGCTGCTGCAAAACGTTCCCTACATTCATTTCAGAAATATTTGCCGGATTTGTGTATATCCATCTTCGTTACTTCCGATCCTTTGCACTGATAGGATCTTCGGCTGAAACAGCTCTGATCTCAAAGAAAGTCGTCTGACTGCTGCTGTTGTAGTAACTGTAGTCCCGAGTCCATAGCCTACTTCTTACAAATTAAATATGTATTTTCTAATGCGTGATGCCTTTTATTTGCGGCATTTTATTTGCTTATATATTTATGCATTATATAACCGTAAGCCTTTTGTTATGAATCTCCAGACACGAGCACCACCATCATGTTTTAACATTCCTGCCAACGTTAAAGTTATATATTGCAAACACACCCACCTACCTTAATGTAAGAACACAACACTGTTCTGGTTGTTTTACTGTGTGGGTTTTAATGGCGAAATCTCAAAACAGCCAGTAGTTGTTGTGAGTGACTGCACTCTCTCAGGTAGGCTTACAATGCGGAAGACAGACTGGTAGGGGGCGTGGCTACATATGTTTCCACATGGGGTGAAAGGTAAGAAGCTTATAATAATGTCCATCAGAACAAATTAGTCTTTACAAAACACCAACGTTGACTTATTTTAACAAACAATCCCCGACATGTCTAAATCTCCGAGTCAATTTGAATTGTATTGCCCATAATCACATTTCCCACTGACTTAATATGAATAACATACAAACCCCTATTGGCTAAGAAAAAATAAATAGTTTTGCCATATTGTGAACGCTAATATAACCCAGATGGTTGAGAAACACAAAACGCTGTATAGATTTTGTAAACGTAACTCAAATTAATGTTAAATAATTTGGATTCAGCCATTAAAGATGAACATGTGTTTATTTGAATGGTGTGATAGTTCCCAAAAACAAAGTCAGTTTTACAGCATCATTAAAGTATTCAAGAATTGTTTTAATATTCTTTGGTCTAACACTAAAGCCATAATAGGCCCTGCATCTGTTGGATATATTCTTCAGTTTTTGATTTCTCCCCACTCAGTTCAGAAGCATCAGCATGGTGCTGTTTCTGACCCCGCATGATGTCTTTGGCGATTCGAATGCTTGCAGCCTGACCACCGGCAAGGTTTACTGCATGTGGTCCAACCTGTACAGGGGAAAAAACATTGTAAAAAAATTGGGATAGATTGTTGGTGACACTATTTTTGATCACCAAAACTCTCTGTTGAAGACCAACCTGAAGAGCAGTGTACTGCCCCATCAGGTAGAGCGGGCAGCCTTCAGTCCACTTTAAGCTTTCTGATATGCACGGCCAACCGTCTATCACCTTCATGAGAGGACAAACAAACCCGAAACAATTAATGCATCTATTAATGTCGCCTTGTTAAGTTTACACCGTGGAAAATGACCTCATTAATACATACATACATCGCTCGTATGTCGCCGTCCTTTGGGTCATTTTAATCATTTTGTAATTGTATTTTGATCCTAAACCTACATTACATACACATTTGATTGCCCAACCTACCTGAACGGGGAATTCCTTCATCACCTCAGAAAGCAGCGGGTCCTGTTTGACATCAAGTTTGCAGCCGGTGGCTAGCCAGATCATATCTCCAGACCAGTGGGCCCCGGTGCTGAGGGACAGACTCCACGCCTGGCTCCTGTAGCACCAGCTGGCTTCACTCACCTGGAAAGTTACATGAGATTCAGGTAAAAACCCTCCATTAACCTCACCTTACCTTCTCAAATTCACTACACCTTTAATCGTACACCCTTTGGGATGCACCTTTACCTGACAGTAAGTCTTCACGTCCACCCGTCCACTCAGGATGAATGGCTGTAGGTGGATGTAGGCCTCGGGGGTAACGGCCCCTCCTTTTCTTGCCTGGCGAATCATAGCCAGCCGTTTGTGGAGACTGCGTTCATTATAGAACTGCCGTAGGTAGGCCTGGCCGTCCATCTTGATGCCGTGCTCCACGTGGGAGTAACGGCCCACCAAGCTCTCCACATCGCCCACATCAAACTGCTTCAACTGCGGAATACATAATCAAGACTGATACCTGTGCTGGAGGAAGTCAGGTATATTTTCAGTTGTAGTTGTTCTACATGCAGTTTCACACTGTCACTAGACCTGGAGGTGCTTCCTCATAACCCATGTCACATGGCTGGCACCTTGCTGCAGAGCAATTGAGACGACATGAGCGCTGGTCAGACCTCCACCAACTACCATTACTCTCTGCCCTGCCTCACACACTACACACAATTCTAGACACACACACAGTACTTGTAAAGGAAAGTGTTGCAGCAGAGACTGGGGATCAAATATGAAATGAAGCATGTAGAAGCATGGTAACCTCAGGTGAAAGCAATGTATTATTGAATCCTAAATGCTAAAACATTGTTTCCCTGCAAAGCTTTTCTGTATTGTTGTAATGTTGCATAACCCTCAGAAGAGAGCTGACTTACCTTGAGAGTGAAAAGCCTCATTCTGTCTCTCATCATCTTTAAGTTTTTGCTTAGCAGATGACAGGTGGTGCATCAGGTGCACAGTGTGTTGCAGACGCTCCTCTGGGTAGCTCTCTCCGATGCTTTTCACCCATGAAGGGATGTTTGCCATCTGGGCGCGGGTTGGACCTGTAGCCATAACGACCTGGCGGGCTGTAAGTTTGATGCCTTCTTGAAGTTTGACAACAAAATATTTTACTTTTTTCCTCTCGGTCACTCTTATGTCATCACCCTCTTTCATCCACTCGGTCTCTTCTTCCCCCTTTTCCTCGTCATCCAGCACAGGGCTGATGTACTCCACTGTTCCTTTCACCAGCACTTTGTCCAAGTTGTATCTTTCCACCTGCAGGTTCACAACCACCCACTTAACAATTCAGCAAATAGCAATTATCAGATTGCTATTTGCTCATGCTGTGACCCAAACCAGTGTTAGTCCATCTCTCAAAACTTTCTCCTGAGCATTGTACTCAGCCACAATCCCCTTTGTTTTTACTCAAGATTTCCAAATTAGTTAAGAGAAACTACAAACAAGCATAAAGCAAATTCTAAACAACAAAGTTGTATGCATGCTTTTGGGATTGCTTTTATTCAATAAAGAAACATGTTAACATTAAACATTGCATGCAGAACACACACAAATACTCTGTGTTGCTAACCTGATCTTTAAAGAAATCCACACTTAGTTTGGTTCCTGGCAGACTCAAGGACAAACTCTTTTTCAGTGTTGAGGCGATGTTGAGACGTTTCCTCTCCTTCTTGCCGAGCCTCATATCATTAAAAAATGCATTTTCATCCAGAATATAAACTTGGTCTGGAAGACTGTGAAGCTCTGCTGAACGGTCCAACTTTAAAACAAACTCCTGCAGTGCTTTCTGACAAAAAACAACAACAACAACATACACATATGTATTAATTATCATACTGTAGACGCACTTTCCTTGTTTTACTTCAGGGTAAGTTGATAGTGTTTATACCTTATTGAGAGGGTCTGTGTGCACCAGTGTGTGTGAGCGCAGGTGAGGGATGTTCAGAGTTGTGAATTGGCTCTCCCACAGAGTGGTCCACTCCCCATAGGAATCTACCACTCTGAGACTCAGCGGGGGGCAATCGGCCCTCCCTAGTGTTGACTTTGCTAGGCACTCCTCAAATGTCAGGCCTGCCAAAGGACATATGAACTTAATAGGGAAGCCCCAGAGCAAAAAGGGAAGCAGAAGTGTGTTTTATCTTTGTTAATTTCATGCAAGTTAAAATGCAGAAGTAGAGTAGTGACACATGTTGTGTTTTATTTGTAAGGTAACCTGGTTTCTGGTTCCAGACCTCTGATTCAACACCTGACGACTATGATTCAATTTTAATGAATGAAAGAAGTGAAACAATGACAATTTGTTCTGAATTTCAGGTTAATTCAAAACTATTTGTTTTACACTCAGCCATTTAACATTTAGGTATCATACCAATACTTATGATTGGAACTTACATTTAAAATGATGACTGGAGGAAATAATTAGTCAAAATTATGAAAAACTAAAATAAATTATAAATATTACAACAACATAAGAGAGAATGACTAACTGACAAAAATGTGTACACAAAGTAAAAAAAACATTCCGTTTACTGTATTGTGGGACGAAGAGCAGTGCATCTTCTTAATTCAGAAACTTGATCTCATAATCTAAAATTGTATCTGATAGGATTTAGTAAGTGAGGTCAAGCAGTTACCTGCTGTTGCCCTCTTCTTCTTCTTGCCTCTGCAGCGTTTGTTGTTGGATGTCTCTGAGTTTGTCTGAGCCCTCGCAGGGTCCGAGAGGGAGAGGGAGAGGGGTGAGACATGTCCAGGGTCTGATTTTGGATCAGGGTCAGGGTGGGATAGCAAGGTGGCAAGGGTCAAGGCATGAGGGCCACCCCCTATTATTAAGACATCGAGTATCACCATCTGAAACACACACACAAACCCACAATATGTGTTAGATGTCCCGTATAAACAAGCATGGGAAAATTGTAGTACTTTCAAAGCCTATTTTGAAATCAGAGTCAGTTCCTTAAACGGTAACATTTCACTTTCACTCAATGATAGTTTACTTTGATGTATCAGGTCACCTGTACAGTGTGCATTTCACAACTCAAACGCAAACTCTTGCAAAATATTACAGCACCCCACCTTAAGGGAGCCCCATAATAATCAATCGAAGTAATACAATAGATGTTTCTTTTTCATATTATTGTATTTTAGTTCGTAATGAGCAATACACATTAGTAATCAGTTTGTATGTGCTTCAGATAACTGCTGACATTCTAGTTTCTATAAAACACATTGACCAAAGCTTAAGACACTTTTGAACTCTATGAATTGCTCCTAAAACTCAAAACACAATAATTTAAATTCCAACAGCAATGCCAAGCTTCATCTGGTAACTTTAAATAGTTTGTTAATGAATGCATTAGAAGCTTTTAACCATTTATTATCTCATACTCAAATAACGTATTAAAACAAGTGAAATTCACCACAGAGGTCAACATTACTCATCACCTTCAGCTGTTAACAATGTTTTTTCTCAGCAGTCAGACAGACACTTATCAAGCAGAATATCAGGTACATACATGTTAGGGCATCAGAGTACCTACTTTAAGTTTGGATTATCAACTTGTGCCAGCTTCTGAGAGAAATCGTGTTGCAGTGGACGGTGGTGATCCTGAAACTTTGCGATAGTGGCATGTGCTTCTCATGTAACTCAATCCACCTCCGCTCCTACAGATTTAGCTCGACTTCACTGGCTCAACAGGGAAAAGCTTGAAATAGCTTGAGAGTGTGTGTTTGTTTGTGTGTGACACAACTCATCCCAATAATAAAAAAGTTTTTTAGGCCTAGAGTCTCCACTGGTTGACTTATATCCACTGCAGTCAGCATGTCGTTGTGTCCCTGGGCAAGACACTTCACCCCAAATTGCTCCTGTGGGGATTGTCCACAGTACTGAATGTATGTAAGTCGCTTTAGATAAAAGCGTCTAACAAGTAATGTAATGTAATGTAATGTAATATCCTGAATGTGTCAACAAGGAAGTTCCTCTTGCTAGCAAATAAATAGTCCAACTTATGAACCCTGGAAATGGTGCTATTGTACACATAACATCTAGTGTTTTTATAGGTGAGTTGGTAGAGGCCACAGATTTTGTTATCTTTAGGCAGAGCCAGGCTAGCTGTTTCCATCTTGTACAGTGTTTGTGCTAACTTTAGTTAATACCACAATAGTTAAGGATCTGAAAACTTCTTTCACTGCTAAATGTTTGACAGAAACCACTTACACTAGACAGATGCACTCTTACAAAGCAGAACATTTAAGCTAATACAAATATAAAAGTTTAAAAAGTATTAATTGTTTACAATATTTACTTTTTAATAAATTAAAGTGAAGTCAAAATGTGATATTACCATTACAATTTGTGAATAAGCGTTAATTCTCACTTCTGTTTCTACTTCATTAAAGAACCACCCTACTATACTTGTATATCCACCACAGAGATATTAACTTTCACAGAGGAAGTCATATTTTTCCAGTAATTCCCATATCTAATGTGACATAGCTACAATAAACTGATGGTTGTTATTTCCTCTTCCCTCTGTTTAGGGTTTAAACAATTTTGCTAAGGAAGTGAACATCCAGTAAAATAACAAAAACAGTGCTGGCATGAATTGTTGTATAAGCACTAAAATGAAAAGCTTCAACTGATGAAATCAGAAAGTTCTCTTTTCTTAAGAAAATCATAAACCATGTCCCCCTTTTGGATTGAAAATGTACTAATCTCCATTCACTTCCTCTTCTGGCATCAGTTCCACATACATCACCTCTCAGTCCTTCTTCCACTTCTGCTTATGCAAAGCAGAAGCTCAAACACACTTCAGGATTTAAAAGGCCGGCGCTGTCAGCGGGGTCGGATTCAGTCTTTTTAGCAGCGGACACTGTCAGCACCATGGATGTGAAGGTGGGTGACACAACATATCATATCATATTAGTCAACATTGCTATATGTGAGATATATTTTGAAATATATGATTTTGTATTTCTGGTGATTTTGTTTTTGTTCATATATTCCTGAATGATAGGATCCTCAAGTTAAGGGAGGCGTGCTGATCGTCCACCAGATCCATGAAGGGAAGCACCAGTATGAAGTGGAAAATGTGATGAAGTACAAAAAAGGGAGTGGAGGAAAGGCATTTGTCAGGTATTGAGAATACAGTTTTTAAATGTTTGTTTTGTACTAACAAATAAGAATTTCCTTTTTTTTTTAAGAAAAGCACTATCGGGCCCAGACCACAGAGCTCTTACCAGTAAAGTGTAAAATAAAATAAAATAATTAAACAAACTAACATTAAACAAGTATTTGTTAAAGGAAGATAATCAGACAGTTAATTGTTAAAAGGGTTCAAATATTTATTTAATTAAACATTGAATCATTTATTATACCGAAATCTCAAATACTGGCTGCTCTCACATCGTAAAATGTGATTTCCTGTTTTTCTTTCTCATGTATGATAGTGACTTCAATATTTGTATGACTTTAGACTGCTGGTCTGACAAAACAATTCAGGTCTCACATGTCAGATATAATAGTCAAGTGACTCTTTATTAAAGCCTCGGAAAAAATTTAAAAATCTTTGATCCAGAGGTATTTTAAGGTATCTCTCCATAAGATGATGTACAAACCAAGTCTTTCACAACTAAGTCCAGTTCCTCCCAAGAAAAACTAGAAAAACAAGAAATACTGAAAATACCGACGCCTTCATTGTGAAATGACTAAAACTGTTCCAACTTTGGCAGACAATATTGAACTAAAACCCTTTAGTATAAGTCTCATATGTGTTCTGTTTTTCTCAGGAGAGGAGACAAACTGATGCAGGTAAACGGCATGGACCTGCAGGATCTCACACCCGAGGAGTTGGCACAAACGTTGGCTAAAGATACTCCGATGCTGGTGAGTCCATGAACTTTCCTCTCTATTCTCATAGTCAGAGATAGCTGAACATTGCAGCTTTGGACACACTTTGCAGTCCATTGTTGGTGATTATTTTAAGAGAGAAATTCACCAAATGATAAACTGTCATTATATATTATTCGTTTTCTCAAACTGATAATACATGTGGTTGTCAGAATTCCTATTCAAAAATAATCCTGTTGAGTCTCTACAAAACAGTATCCCTGTTTTGTTATCCTGTTAATAAGTGGGATGAATGGACATACAAGTGTAGGCTAACTTAGCTCCCATGACATTAACAGATGTTTACATTAAATGGTGATAAAGTTTGTATATTGCATGAGCTTAAACTGCACTTAAAAAATATCAACATGACATGACATCGTCCAATCTACATTTTAGGTAGAGTTAAAACACACATTGTACGGTAGCTGTCCATTGAGGGGTTTTAATTTAGTTCTGACACAAAGTTAGTTCTCAGTCTGACCCCATGTTGACTTCCTCTGGTGTTCAGACGGTGCACAAGGCCGACAGGAAGAAGGAGCAGACTGACATGTCCTTACCGTCTGAGGATACTTTACATCCCGTGTCCAAGGAATCTACAATATTCAGTTTCAGCATGGAGATGAGGAGGGAGGAAGACTTGGAAGAGAAGGAGGACGGGGGTTTAGTGGAAGATGGTTGTGGAGCTGAAAACCAGGAGTATGGAGAGGGGGAGGATCTGCTCATAATTTCCATGAAGAAAACCAGCATCTCTGTGGTGAGAGGGAGGGGCTGCGACTCTGGAAGCCCCTGTCAGGGATGTCATGGCACAGGGTGTACCTTTAATGATGTTGTCATGGTGTCAGAATCCAGCAAGGTCGTGCTTGGTGAGTTATGTTTTAGTCTCTGACCTTCCCTACTATTTACTTTCAAATATATATTTCTACAAATAGTCTCACTGAAATCAATATTTGTTAAGAGAGAAATGATTAAAAATACATTTTACAGTGAAGTGACATCCATTGATCTCCAAATATCCTCTTGTATAATTTCGGAGAAAGGATTATAAACGTTATGGGTAAAAGATGTATTATTAGGTCCGTACATCTGATCAAAAAGCAACGTTAGATCTCTTACAGTATGTGCAAACCCCCTTCTATTAGTAGAACTGTTAATAAATAATACTATTAGTTATGAAGATACAATTATGAGAGAGGAATTAATCACGCTTGTTCTTTTTTACTTGTAAAAGGGGTATGAATTATAGACTAGACACTCTTTGTTTGATTGTTCTCTGTGCAACTCTCAGTTTCAAGAGGGGGGGGAACTTTCCGACAGCTGAAGTCTTTGAAAACTCCCATCGAACATGTGCCCTCTCACCGTTACCTCAGGCGTCTCTGTTCGCAGAGACTCTTTGCTTCACCAAATCCAGGTTTGTCATTTTGGGAAGCATCCAGCAGCAAACATTTACAGTAATCAAAGATGGGTTTTTCATTTCTTAATGTTTGTTTTTATTTCAGAGGAGATGACCATCTACCTCTACAAGTCGACCAGCCTCATTGACAGAGGAATGCCAGTGGTCCTAAACTTTAGCAAGTCCAACTGCTTCCTCAGGTGCTGCAAGGAAGGAGAGCGCGTCTTCTTACAAGTGGAGGTAATAACTAGAGACTTAGGCTGAACAGGTTCACCTTCCAGAACTAACTGCCATATTGATTACCATGAAGTTTGGCAGTTACGTCCCAGATAACTCGGTGGTCATCTGACTTTTCCTCTAGTGCCACCACCGGGCTAACTTGTGTGGTTTTGAGGGAATTGTATCAATAATCTTTGAGATGGATTGCCATTGAAATTTGGTTCAGACATTTATGTTCCCTACAGTTTGAGTTTTGAAAATGTCTGGGATCACTCAATCAATTATAAGAATTCTTCATCTGAGACCATTAAATAATGACAATCCATCTTTAAAACATTGTGGACATTGTGTGTAAGTTACATTTTAAAATGCCAGTGGTGTTTCTGTCGATGATCAACTTGTTTCAGATGTTGACTGCTTTTCTATACACAGCATCTGTTGAAAGAGAGCGGCAGAGGAAAACATTTCAGAAGTGTCAGATTAGAGTTTCTTTCATTGGAATGCGACAAACTGTAAATAGATTGATTTCCACTTATGTTGGTCAGCCTTCAAGGTCAGGAAATGTGGTGAGAACAGCCCTCAACCCATTTTGATGTACTGTTCATTTTGGCTTTTTCACACAAATGTTACTCTCTAACAGGTGCTGCCACCAATCGTTCCTAAATGGGACATGGGCCTCAGAAATGGTTTAGGAACTGTAGTAATTAAGTCAGGTCTCGGACTTGGGTTCACTTTTTTTAACTTGTGCTTTGTTGGAATCGGAATTGTCTCAAATGTCACACAATGAACATTTGTGTTATGGGCCAGTAATCTACTTTTTGTAATCAAGATTTGCTATTGATATCTGTGTTTCTTTTTTTCTCTTGACTAATTCGAGATCATTAACTTGAATGTTGTGATATATATGGCCCTTTGTCAGCTTCTTTTTATTTGTTTTGGCCTTTACACGTATACTTTATACATAAGTAATCATAATAAATGCTTTTATGCTGTGAACGGTTGTGATACTTGCAAGCATAGATATCTTCTCACTGCCAGGATGTTGAACAGTGATGCTCTCTGTGACGGATATCCTCACGTCTCTTGTTGTTTTAGATGTGCGAGAAGAAGAAGCTGAAGAAGATCTCCATGAATGACGAGACTACTCTGTCCTTCCTCTTCTACATGAGGGCCGACCACACGAGAAAGCGGAGGTTTGAGTCAGCGCTGCACGGCGGCTGGTTTATTCAGATCAACACCACCAACTCAGTGGAGATGGCCACCATGGATGGAGGGATGGAAGAAGAACAGTTCCTCTTTGTCATCCAGACAAATCAGTGATGAATAATCACTTTCTTCTCAGAGTATTCTCAGTTCTCAGACAAGTTTACTATTTAAAATTAAGATTTTTATTTGTGACTTTTTCATAAACGACAGGGAAACATGAGGGGAGCTCTTTTTGTCTGGTGACTAATTGTCACTGTGTCAAATTCTGCTATTGCAGAAGTGTGTAGATATGCATCATACAACTACATCTGATAAAACGTGTTTTGTGTTTTGTGTATGGGTTTTTTTACTTACGTTTTTATAAATATGAATATTTTTTGTGAAGGGGCTGTAACTTTGTGAAAAAATGTATATTGAGTATCAAGATGAAGTGATAGTAACTTTATTTGTTCAACACTTTAAAATATACATCATTGAGGGATGAGCAACATTTAAAAAAAAATATATAAACTATAAACATGAGTCTAATGTATTAACAAAATAAAATGTGGGTTCAATGGTATATGTACTGTATAATTATGTGTATATACTGTATACAAATGATATTTGGAAAATGCTTACTATTTTATAATTTATTAGCAACACATTAAGATGTACAACATAAATTATTATACTTTGATATTTGGAATACACTGGTAAACCCTTGTATTTTATGCATCTTACAACAATAAAAGTGTTAAAACCCTAACCACCAAGTTTAGGAAGATAAGATACTTAAATGTGTTATTTTAAGACAAGCAAACGCATCAAACATTATTTAAAACATGTCTGACCATTAAAGCATTTTGCAGAATATAAAATATTTAAAACAAATACAAAACAATTATTTTTCCTTTTATAAACCACCATGAATTTGAAATGCATGACACTGCAGTTTATTTAATATACATTATTTTGTCCAAAAGACAAGATAAATGGCCACCATTATTGCATACAGTAAAGGTTTACTCCAAACAGCACAGCCAAAATCATTTAAGTGTTGTTAGGTTGGACTTGTTAGGCCTATATATTGTTTATACAATAAGTATAATATTCATGCATCAAAATACATGAATATAACAATATGTACATTCACATGGAAGTATATTTAAAATGCATATTGTAGTAGTTATTTGATCTTTATTAAGAGCATTAAGGACTTCCCTCTGATTATCATCGGATTCAGAGTCCAGTTTGTTCATCTTCATTTTCTTCAAAAGCTTTGTTAGTTTGTCCATCGTGTTCGTAGGGATTGTCCACGCTGTCTGTCTTTGCAGATTTCCTACAAACACACCAGAAGCACAACATGTCTCACAGTTATTAATGAAGTTTTTAATAAACGTTATTTATATAGCACTTTTCATGCTTTACAGATCAAGACAAGATACGTAAAAAAAGGTATATTGGTAGAAAAAATGGTAGGAATGGGTCTCAGTTTGGAATCTAACACTCACTTTTTGCGCTCCATGACACCAGAGACGACGAGGTAGACGCCTGCGAGCACCACCACTCCCATGACAACCCCGAACACAACCAGCCACACCGTCACCGGCTGCTCCACGGGAGGGGCCAGTGTTGCTAGGATACCCACAAACTCTAGCGTCTTGTCATCCAATTGGAAGGCATCGTTGATTCGGCCTCGACTTAACCTGGGATCAATATCGAAATAGGTTTATTATTGCTCCTTAATTTTAACTGATTCTGGAGAAAGGACACACTGAGTTGATCCATTTCAGCAGGAAGCTATTCAACCATTACCCTTTTGTTAGATGCAAACAGCTCTGCGAGGCTTTGTTTGCTGTGTAAGTGAGGTGAAATTCAGAATGAGCTTCACCTTTGGTTTTACTCTTCTGTCTACAAGAACATATCGAATGTACTTTTTTAGTAAATTGACCTACATGTTTGTTGAGATTTTATCTGGATGACTTTGAATAATATGAGTTGTGCTTTTTTTAGCCTTGAGTGAGCCTTTTATTGGTAGATTTTATCTGCAAGGCTTTGGAGGGAAGGCAGAGTATTTAGTTTGAGACCAAACTAAAGTGTTCTGGTATGAAATTGGATGCTTGACCACTGCAACTGTTTTTTTATGTCTTGACTCGTGAGGGTCGGTCACCATGTGTGCATGACAGGATAACGAAATCATTCAATCAAACAGTTGATCAGATATTTCAGTTTGGACAAAAGTAGAACACACAAAGATTGCGATCCCCAGAACAAGCGTGACTGAAAATGAATCACAGTACATGTACATTGACTGACTATTACAGCTTCTTAGTCCTTGACACATTCAGGTAAAACAAACCAAGTATATTGCAATCAAATACAGAATGTTATCACAATACATGTGTGTGTTGAATGCCTCACTGTATGGCAGCCTCCACATCAGCCTTGGGGATGTATGTGGTGGGAGTTGCTGGATTGGTGACCACAATGTAGAAGGAGATCCTGGGAGTCTCTTGATACGTGAGGACATTCTCTGCTCTGCAGGCAAAAAAACAAGAAAACCCACTCAAAAGGTGTGGCAACAAACCAATGTCAGTTTAAAACAGAACATAGCATAGAGTGTTTTCATATTTCATGGTCCCAGGATGATACTGACGTGAATTGAAGGGTCTGGTTCTTTTGGCTGTAGTACTGCCTCAAAGCGTACGCAACACTGGCCTTGAACAGGTACAGCTCATTGTTGTTCCAGGAATACTGAAACACATTATAGTTGAGTATTTTGATAAAACTGACTGAAGTTCAAAGGGGCAACCTTCACATCACGTGTAGCAAGACATTGTAACCCTTATCCTGTAATAATAACACTTCTGATAATGATTAATGATACTCACAGCGTTATCACCCATAGCAGCCTTCAAGCTCAGCCTCACTTTGATTGCATTCCCTGAATCTGTTACAAAAAAGAATCAAATACTTTTTTCATCTTGAAATATGAAGGTTATTTTAATGTATTATGTATTAATTTTTGCAAAATATGGTTGCCATAGATTAATTAACTTAAACTGCCATAGCTCTTGAAGGCATCATGAAATAGCCACCAATGTCTGGTCACATGAACAGACAGTGACAGCGCCTAAGTTAACATTTCAATTATTTCAGTTCTTAGGGCATTGATTAATTACAAGAATTATTGCTTATTATTAGTCATGAACAATTGAGTACAGAGTAAAAATCTTAGGAAGCTGCAATCACACAGTTCTATCAGGAAACGCGCATTTTAGTCATTTTACTCTGGTTTGGTCATGCCAATATTTGTCATGAAAACAGCAGTGACTTAAGTTTGTGTTTTTTCTACTTCTTCAAAAACTTCCTCTCTTAGTCACAGTTATAATGTAATGATGAGGTCATAGTTTGTCCACGCATACAGTACAGTAGGCCTACGTCTGTTTCCGGTTATTTTTATTTTGAAATTCAGTTCCTGACGGACACCAAAAAATCCCGAGATTATGGAATTATAGGCCTCTCAAGAAGCTATCCAAAAGTATTCAATGAACTGTGTTTAGTGAGGACTTAAATGCTCATAAACATGATTTGGCAGATGAATTTGATGTGCAGGAAACCAAGCAAACAAGAAGAGAGGTGTAATAGTTTGGCATTTTGGGAAATTAATAAAACAAAACTGAAACTCACCCATTAAGACTATATAGTGGTATGTATAATTGTGTAGCAGAGTTTCCGTTAGCAGGTATTTACCGGACTATGACCGGATATGCTGATGTTTATAACTCAGTTAATGGGAGTCATTTTTATATTGCCTTAGTTTATAATCGTAACAGATCGAAAAATTCAGATTCATTTTTCAATAAATGATTCCACAAACAACAAACAACATCATTATTACATTCAAACAAACTAGTAGTAGATGAAGTACATTATTCAAAAGTATACATTAAAGGGGACCTATCATGCAAAATGCACTTTTGTACGTCTTTTATACATGAATATGTGTCCCCGGTGTTCCAGGGAACTCACCAAGTGTCAGAAAACACAACCCTCTCTATTTTCCTCCATACCCAAATCTCTAAAAAAGGGGCTGCAACGGATCTGATACAGACTGATCCAGATTTGAACACTGTCCTGACGTCAGGACAGTGGCGCTACGGCTATTGGGCCAACTCCACCAATCAGGAGGAGACAGCCACAGCCATTGCCGTTCGAAAGCGCTGGAGACGCTGTAGTACATATGCCAGGCCTGTAGATGGTGCTGTTCTCACAGAATCAGCCCTTGCAAAAACAGAGCTAACATTTTTCAAATTGAGCAAAATGAGGCATGGCTAAAATGCATGATCTGTTTGGTATTTTGAAAAAAAAAAAAGGTATAAATATGCCTTATATAGGTATGGTCCTACACTATATTATTCAAATATAGCATGATAGGTCCACTTTAACTTTGAATAATAACACGGGAGAAACGGATCCTCTCTTTTCTCCTCTCTCTCTCCTGACAGCCCGTCAGTTTCTCATGCAGCTCGCTAAACAGTGGGCTTCAGGTGATCATGCAGAGCTGCGTGTCTCCGTCAGACTCAGTAGCTGATCTGATCTCTCTCTCTCTCGTTCGGTTATACTTCACTCGCGTTTATGTCCATATCGATCAGATCCAGCTCTCCTGATCGGCCTTTATAGAGAGCACAGATCAAACTATTAAGAGTGAATATCGGCCGATAATGATCGGCGGCCAATCGATCGGAGCATCCCTAATTATTACCGGACATTTTGACCGGCAGGTTTTGAATTTACCGGTTTTTATTAAATGTTACCAGCTAAAAACTGTAACCGGCTAACGGAAACCCTGGTGTGAAGCTAAGCTAACCAGCTGGTGGCGGTGGCACTATAACCATACAGACATAATAGTGGTAGGCCTAGGCCTATTCATTTTTTTTAAATAAAAGTTAATACGAATATTATTCAAAATGTTAAGTACATATACGTTTTTCAAATTCATTTAGTTTAATTTAGTGGTAATACTCTTGAAAGTGTTGTACTCACAAGGATCTATTGTTGTCTTCCAGCCTACATTCCTGTTGTTTTTCTCGTTCTCTGCCTTCAGCCAGTCATGGAGAGGTTGGAAATAGTCCAACAGGGGGCGGACGTCCATCTTAGCATCCCCGGAGATCGTATCCAAAGCCCTGGTCCAGGACTTGGATCTTCCCAGCTCTAACATATTCCTAACAGAAAACAGTGAGGAACATAAATGACGACTGTATCTCTACATGTTTACCACAATCACGTAATGTGCTACAGCAAAAACAGAAATATGACATTATCTCTTATTTGATTTCAAACTGTTATATGGACAATCAACAAAATACATTTAGTCTGTACCTCAGTTTGGTTCCTGCTACTTTAGAACCGGTGATGTCACATGTAGACAAAGATCCTGTGTGACCGGCCTCCAGGCAGAGCGCTTTTTGGAACTGAAACTGGTAGATGGTCCTTGTGAAGTACCTGTATTCACGACCAGACACACACACACACAGACAGGTCATGTTTTCAACCTGGACCCAGTTTTGTCATTCCTAAACGTTATACAAAAAGGATACCAACATACTATTTCCTAAGGTACTTCCTTTTGCTTATGCAGCCAACGGACATAACCATTAAAAGCTTACATTCGAACAGCGCATGTTTTACTCTACTGAAGGTCAGTTATAAAGTTTAGCCTTTGTTGTTCACTCTCTGCCCTCCAGCTTTGGTTGCTGTGCCAATGATAGTGGCAATGTGAGTGGTCAAG